TTTTAACATTTAAAAATAGAATTGGAATTCTCAGAATATCAATTATTCAGTTATTCGAGGCAAATATAATAGAAAATTGGATAATTTTTAAATTTCAGAGAAACAATTTTCTCTTTTACTAAAACTGGAATTTTACCAACTTTAATGTAAGAAAATTTACTATTTTATTGCGTGGTTATTTAATGATACGAATCTTTTCACTAGCTGTATTCGCAATTACGCGAAAATACACGAAACTACGTACGTGTTGTATAATGAATTTCGGTTCTAGAAATAGATGAAATTCCTTGTCTGAGACCTGTCATCGCTCCGCGAATTTAAGTAGAAACTTTGTTAAAAGGAATTCTCTTCTCGAGCAATTAAATCTGAAAGTTTACGGTTCCGCGTGCGAAACGCGCGATCTCGTAAATCTAACAATAAGTGGAAATACTCTGGGCGAGAAAATATAGTAGATAGGAAACACGTGGCCAAACGTGAACTGAGGTAAATAATGGAAAATAATATTTTAGAAAGCAGTATGTCTAAAGCTCTCGTAATTGTTTTATGCTTTCCTAAATAGAATTTCGTATAGAATTTATTCAGTGTAGAATAGAATTGCAATTTGCACGAATAATTTGTGTAATAATTGTTACAAATAACTTGTACAATAATTTTATAAATAATGTGTGCAATATCTTGTAGAAATAATTTGTTCGATAATTTGTACAGAATAATTTCTGGAATAATTGCAATCTGCTAACAATACTCAACAACCGACATACTTATAAATAATCGTAATATAATTGAACAATTACAACAGATACATTTATATTATATCGTTTAATTAAGTTTCATGAGCTGCGTGTAATGAGCTGTATAAATAGAGGGTGTGTCCAACACTCCTGCATTCGCTAAACTTTTAAAATTGAAACTCGTTCGTATCTCCTAATTTCACCTTTTTTTTTTTTTTTTCAAGGAAAAGTAAAACTTGTGAAAATAGTAGAAAAGGAGTAAAACGTTTCAAACGATTTTTAAACATTTTCCAATATTATTATTACAATCTGAACAGTACTTGGCTCTTAATTACTATGAGTTTGTATTGTTGAACAGTTGAGCTTTTTCACACTGCAGAGCTTCGTTACGCTTTTCAAGCCAACATTTGCTGTCTGCTGTGCAACGAGCCGTGAGACGATGCAACAAACGCAACAGGTGACGCGATTCCTTCGGCAGGGATTAAAATCGCGAGGAAGCGACGGAAGTGGAGCAACGATGCGTGTGTACGCCGGATGTACAAGCACCGGCAGCGAAAGAAAATCGATATCAGAGTGATCTCGCACACCGGGGAAAAATGTTTCGCGGACGATCGTTCGCGCTCGATAAGCCGTGACGTTGAAAAAGAAAGAAACGAGGCCACGGCGGACCAGTGTACTCTACCGTGCAACAGGTGAGACGCAGCTTTTCTCATTCTTCTTTGACATTTTCCTTATTAACTCCACGCGTTTCGAGAAAATTTCTCCCAGGCTGGTCATTTTTCTTCCCACCATTTCGAGATTTTATTCCTCCTTGGTGATGCGTGGAAATCGCTCGATTCTGTGCTTTATGATTTTATGATTGCGTTTTTGGGTGAAATTGAAAAAACTGTGATTCAGAGAATTTAAGTTTGAATCTAGATCACAATTTTTTTTTGGGGAGGGGATATTTATTTGTTGAAATTGTATATATATTTATTTATTTATTTCTGATCCTTGCCTTTCGGCTTCGGATGACTTCCGGTTTTTTTGTACATAATTACAATGTTGTCATTAGATTACAATTCCCTCTGTCGCCCAAGAGTATTGAACTAATATAATATGCCTGTATATATTTATATATCAAACACAGCTAATTTTAAATGATTCAAAGTAACTAAACTCAGCTGGCTATCTTTACATTACGTTGCTTTACCGTATAATTATAAACGTAACAAGACAAAAACCAGGCTGGTCATTTTTCTTCCCACCACTTCGAGATTTTATTCCTCCTTGGTGATGCGTGGAAATCGCTCGATTGTGTGCTTTATGATTTTATGATTGCGTTTTTGGGTGAAATTGAAAAAACTGTGATTCAGAGAATTTAAGTTTGAATCTAGATCACAATTCTTTTGAGGGAGGGGGGATATTTTTGTTAAAATTGTATATATATATATATATATTTATTTATTTATTTATTTATTTATTTCTGATCCTTGCCTTTCGGCTTCGGATGACTTCTGGTTTTTTTTTTTGTACATAATTACAATGTTGTCATTAGATTACAATTCCCTCAAATTCCGCAAAAATATTGAACTAATATAATATGCCTGTATATATTTATATATCAAACACAGCTAATTTTAAGTGATTCAAAGTAACTAAACTCAGCTGACTATCTCTAACTTTACATTACGTTTACCCTATAATTATAAACGTAGACAAGACAAAAACAGAAACAAAACGAGCTAAATAACACACTTGCTGATAAGCATAAATTAACGAAAAATCTTTAATTTGAAATTGTATATAATCGCGTTGGATTAAAATTGTTATCAAGAATTTGAGAGAGTTCAGGAATAAAAATATTGGCGAATATGCATTATTATTTATTCGAATGTTTCGGTCAAATAAAAATTTCGAAAATTTGAGAAACTTTCGTTATGAAGTATTTGCTGAATTTTTCTGAAACTTTCGACAGTCGAAATATTTACGTTGCAAAATCACGATTAAAGTTTCAAGAATTGCCGTGATGCAAATCAGAAGGTATCGACGTAATTATAAAAATTTAAATCCAATTTAGCAATTTCTCAATCAAGCGAGTGTTCTAAAATATTTGAACGTCATCTTAAAATTCCGCCAAAACTGGGTCTGATCGTTGCATCGAAATCACTGTCAATATTTCACAAATTGTAGATTTTAATTCCAGGAGCTGTCGCTTCTACCGCCACGCGGCAATATTTGCCAATATTTTAATTTCAGTAGCGGAGTGGTTTGACTGCAAAGTAGAAATCGCAATAACTGCATAACTCCACCCACCTCGCGTTCTGACCCAGCAAATAAAACAACGAGTAATCCGCTGTGAACTGTGTGCAAGTATTCACCCCGCAAAAAGTTCGCGAGTGCCACACACACACATTTAAACGCGCCTCGCGTCTTCTTGTCGAATCATCTGAATTCAATTTCCCCAACTTAATCCGTCGTTAATTAAATAAATAAATACTTAACGACGAATTAATTAAATAAATACTTGTATCTTCGATCGATTTCCATCTCGCTGTCCAAATACTAGTAGTAAACAGTCGTGTTTCAATCCAGTCGTCGGATAGGCTACGACGTTATTTGCATAAAACGCAATAACTTGCGGAGAAAGCGTGCACCGTCACATTTGGCGTAGACTTTATCGTCAGAGCGTTTTATAACAAATAATTCTACGAACGTATTTAACTTTAATCTCGATTAGATCAGAAAGGTCCTTCGATACGTATGATTAAAGTGATAGAGGATGAAAGCTGAGTCAAGTGTGAAGAATAGAGAGTGGAAAATTAATATTAAATGACCTTACCACGTGTATTTTCAATGCTCTTTCGTTTTTTTTTTTAATTTCATTATTCAGCTGTCGAGCGGAACAACTGTTTATTTCGTTTAATATTCTGTGTTTTGGGCGGCTGCTTTTGTGAAGTGATTTCGCTGGATGTTGTCAACTGCGTCAGAAATATCGATCACTTCACGGTGTGTTTCACCGACACAGATTCAGACGCGAGAGTTGAAATTAAAACGATAGCAATTCCAGGAGCGAATATTAATAAACGTTGTAAAATAATTTGATTACGTTGTAGCGAAAATGTAGACGGGACGCAATATGTTAAATTGAAATTCCTATTAATATTAAAATTCAAATTGTTCCGTGCATTTCCACTCAAATTTAAATACTCGCGAAACCCGTACTTTGTTTGAGTTCACCTATTGATAAAGAAATCTCAAATTATTGCCCTATTAACTGTCATTACTCGAGATATTATTCATATTCCGGTATTGAAATTATTCATATTCCAGTATCAATTTGATAAATTTAAAGTTTAACTTAATAACTTCAATCAGTTTATAAAGATCATTTGTAATAATAAAGTTCGTGGTACTTGTTCACATAATAATTATTTATGACCATAATCTATATATACATATATTATTATATATATTATTTATTATATTATATTATTATTATATTATATATACTAAATTATATGCAATACAATATATATATAATAATATATTAAATTATATTATACTATTATTATATTATATATATAATATAATATTATACAATATATATATATATATATATATATATATATATATATATATATATGTAATAATATATACGTATATATAAATTATGATCATAAATAAATAATTATTATGTGAACAAGTAATTATTTATAATGATCATAATTTATATTATATTTTATATTGTATTACATTATATTATATTATTATTGTATTATATATAATATAATAATAATAATATTATACAATATATATATATATATATAAATATGTGAACAAATAATTATTTATAATGATCATCATTTATATATACATACATTATATGTATATTATATATATTATATTAATATATATATTATATTACTATTATATTATATATATATAATGATCATAATTTATATAACATATAATTTATACAATACGACGATAATTTCTAGTAATTTCGATATCAAGATTACTCGCCGCAAATCGTAAAGATCGCACGATCTCAACGAATCCTTGATCACCGTGAAACGTCGATTTCTAATGTGAAACCGACAGATCAATAAGATAACAAACAAACGATTCGCCCCGTATCAAATAATGATGTTTCCCCTCGACATGAAATAAAATTAACCGGTGGCCGATGGCGATGATATCGAGCCAGCCGAGTGTCGGGGACGAAAGACGCAGGTGCGAGTTTTGTTGTGAGGACCGCCTAACGATGCTTGTTTCAAATTCTCAGTATCGCCGCCGCGCGCTCACAACGCGTTCGGTTCTCGCGGGCATCGGTCGATTCATCCAAACACACGCCACTCTGTGAAAATCGTTCGCGAACCTGTCTTTCTCTTTCGCCGATTAAAAAGGAAAATCTCACCGCGTTCGCCATCGTCGATTTTCCAAACGAAGAGGCGATTCGTTTCGAGTTCACCGACGAATCTCTCGCGTTTTCAGTGCGCGACGTGCCGTTTGCAACAATTTTGTGCCGTGAGAGACAACGAATGGTTGCACTTGCTTATAAACAAGACGAAAGTGTTGTGAATACTAGGAAATAGGTGAAGATTCGCGATTTTCCGTTTGTTAACACTAGAATCACCAAAGTGGTCAAACCGATTTGTCATTTGTCATTTTTATTCGAAATTTCGTAGATGTGAAACGAAAGCATGCTTTTTAGAGATTTTTCGCGTGAGTGTATAAATCGAAGCTCGTGCATTTTGTTGCATTTTAATTATTTTTGACTTTAATGGAAATTTCATGCCCGGTAGTTCGAGCGTTAAGGTGACAAGTTGTGAAACAAAGCACAGAGCTCCTCACTCGATAACAAACGTACGAAAATGTGGAAGTTAATAAATATTCGAGACATTCTTCACACACACAGAGTGTGTGTCTGTCGAATTTCTTCCTCGCGAAATTTTCTTTTCGCGAACACGATGGTATGGCTCTCTGGTGAATGTGCAACAATAATCAGCTTGAATTTTAAAATTAAATATATTAAAAAATATTACATATATTTAAATATATTATAATTATGGTAATATTAAAAATATTATTAAATATAATATAATAAATATAAAATATTGAATATAGAAATTAAATATTAAATATATTATAATTATATTAATATTAAAAATATATTGAATATAATGTAATATAAAATATAGAATATGGAAATTAAATATTAAATATATTATAATTATATTAATATAGAATATAGAAATTAAATATTAAATATATTTAAATGTATTATAATTATTAATATTAAAAATATATTGAATATAACATAATATAAAATATAGAATATGGAAATTAAATATTAAATATATTATAATTATATTAATATTAAAAATATGTTGAATATAATATAATATAAAATATAGAATATAGAAATTAAATATTAAATATATTTAAATGTATTATTATTATATTAATATTAAAAATATATTAAATATAATATAATATAAAAAAATATAGAATATAGAAATTAAATATTAAATATAGAGGACAAGGACATTTGGGAATTTCTTCGTAGATCGAAGCTCGTTTTTACATTCAAGTTGCACGATTAAATGCGGAATAACGAGAGTGTCGACTTGTTGCAAGAAATTTTTCTCTCCCCCGGAATCCTTGGAAATTGTTTCGCGTTGGAAACTGGAAAATTGAAGTCTTGTAACTTGCAAGAAACTGCCTCGAGACACTCGAAGGCCTCTCTGCGTTTTCCCGCGAATGCAGCAGGTCACTGAAAACAGTAGCCATCTAATGATTTCTCTCTGTTTCTCTTCTCGGAAATTTTATCGCCGATTTTTATCGGGAAATTGTTTTGCTTGTCGACTCGTAAAATGTCACGCGCAGCAGAGACACTATGCACAGTTTTTTTTCTTTTTTTTTTTTACTGCGTAGAATGAAATTTGTGACGCTTCAAACATTTTTGGCGACAGTCGCGATTTCTTTTTTTCTCCCTTTTTAGAATTTTCCGGATTTTTGCCACTGAAATCTATTCGATCTCGAGGAACTCCGTATTCTCTTCGATTCTCCGTTACAACTTGAATATTTCTTGTATTTCGGAGGTTTCCTAGCTTTTCGGTTTTTCATCGAATTTCGGGAATTCGAAATTTTAGAAACTCCTCCATTTTTCATTGGAATTAAAATTCAGAAGCTGTTCTCCAGTTCTCTCTTTACATTCGAGAATCCGTCCGGATTTTGGGAATTTCTTCGCCGTCCGAACTTTTCACCGTGAAATTTGAATGGTTCAGAAATTCTTCGCTAAAGTTCGAGGTAAAAGGAACCTCGAATCGCGATTTTCGCCAGTTCTTCACCCTTCGTTTTCAATGTTCCTCGTCGAAATGCTCGATAGTTATTAATTCACTGAATCCTCCATATCGCGAACGAGGCTCGATTTCGTATTTACATACCTAGAAAAACAGAACGCGGAACAGAGCGTGTTCTTTCGTTCGGTGTCAGCTGTACGCACATGTTCGTTTCGCGAGAGTGTATCCGAGTGGAAGTTGCACGATAAAACGTCGAAGCGTACAAACGCGAATACCACGGATGAACAGACTGTTTGATCTCAATCCGACAATAATTGTCTCGTACGAGTGTCGTGAACAAACTGTTTTCCAAACTCGGTTTGATTACGTTCGCCGGAGAGGAACAGTCGGCTAATTTATACAGCTGACTTTACGAACGAGCGGCCACCACTCGTAGAAGTAGCTCGTCAACTGCCGCTATTTTCTTTTTCCGCTTAGATGACCAGGCAAACGGTCCTCTCTTAAAGCCTCCTGAGTGTCCATTATGCTGTCACGATTGTATACTCACGCAGTTCCAAACGAGAAACAGTTCCTCCAGTTGGAACAACGTTCCTTGCCAAACGAGCAAAGAGACTCAACGTGGCTTTCTGATTCTTTGCCTTTTGTCAGTAGATCGATACTTTCGAGATTTCAATGAATTGGATTAGGTATTAGGAATTAAATTGCTTCTATCGATCGATGTGAGGAAGCTTGATTTTTATTTATTTAATTAATCATTAAATTATTTCTATCGATCGATATAAGGAAACTTGATCTTTGCTTATTTTATTTTTATTTTATTTTTAATTCTTTTTTTTTTTTAATTTTATCTTTAAAGGGATGTAAGAAAATTTTATTTTTATATTTTTATGCTGATATTATCGAGAAAAAGATTTTTGCGGATTATAACATTCAGCAATGGGTGGATAATTTAATGATGACTTGTTTCACTCGAAAGACGCGAGAAACTTTATTTTTGCCTCTGAAACTAATCTTGTGCCCGACGTAACGCCATTATATTTGATATTATTGAGAGTAGATTTATCTTCCATCAAATTTCTGTGGACTAAACGTTTATTTTCATCTCTGAAACTAATCTCGTACTCGGTGTAATGTCATTACATTTGTGATTGTGGTCGTACATTTATAATTTATTTCAGATCGATGCATGGAGCAATAATTTTGTTTCACTGCGGATTTTCAAAAAAGGCCTGATTCTTATCTCTCGCATTAACATTAATGTATTCACATTAATGTATTATAACGTTCAGTGTCTTCAAGAAAAAAAAAGTTATTTTATAAATTATGCATTACAAAAAATTATTTCGCGAATAATTTTTTATGAATTATGCATCAAGCATAACCTGTTCTGTTCGAAGAAAAACTTCTTTTTTATCTCTGACACTAATTTCCTACTTTGCGTAACGTTATTGGTATTTTAAAGGGAATGGAATTATTTTTCATAAAATTTCTGCAGACTGTTGCACGAAATAATAGGTAAAGGATTATTTATTTCCATTAACTTTTATTTCTCTTATTAATTTTGTGTTTCGTACGACGTATTGAAATGTATGTTTATTTTTTTTTTGAAGAAAGAGATTATTTTTTCGTAGAAAAATATCGACCGAGTAAATAATGCCCGTGGGATGCTTGCGGTACAAAAAAAAAATACGGGGAAATTATAGAATCGCTATTCTTAAATCTCGTCGCAAACAAATTAAGCAGAAAGGAATTTTGATGGTTTTCTAAATAGCTCCTTTTATCACGCCTTCGTGTCGAATTCTATTTTCTCTCCTAGTTTTTCAAGCGTCAGAGGCGCTTGAAAAACATCTAAAAAAAAAAAAAAAGGAAAGAAAGGGAGAACAGAGTTTCGCGAAAATTACAAACGACTCTTCCACAGAGAGATTTTACAGAATTTTGTTGATTTTATTGGTTTTATAGAGTTCCGTCACAAGAGGTGTGCGATTTATGAATAAAATTTGGTTCCATGCGACGTCACGTCCAACTGCAACACACGCTCGATTCGCCTTTTAGGGGAAAAACGTGTGAATAATCCCAGCTTTTCAAACAAGAATGAAAGAAACGGTGAAACGCAGCGAGAAATGTAGCACTTTTTGGAAGAAAAAAAAGAAGAAAAAAAAAAAAAAAAATGTTGACAGTTTGTTTCGCACAAAAGTTGCTGAACGAGTGAATTCAAATTGTTCGTCGATGGTGAATTCTACAATTCCGAATGAACCGTGTTCGTACGTGACACACACACACACACACACACACACACACTACGCATACGAGGCACTAAAATTTTCTATAAATATTTTATATCGTTTGTAAAACCGTGATAGAACCGGATACGTGGCTTCCGTCGTTTTATCGTCAATGCCACGAATACCATCGATGTTAATTTTTCTTCTGTTTTAATCGCGTAAAGTTACCTCGGATGAGAAGGAACAGGAAGGATAGCGAAGAGAGATATCGAAAGAGATTAATTGCAGAGTACTTGGCAGGACTCTGTAATTTTTTGTAAATTCCTCGTTGGACTGATTATCAATTTGGGTTTAATTTAATCATGTGATTTTTCACTTTGTGATTTTTCGTACATTATTCATATACATTATTTATGTGTTTCATGTATCTCACTTGTTATTTCGTATTATTTGCAACATTTCATTTACTTATAACATTATTCGTATTGTTGCATTATTTTTAATCTAATTGCGTTTATAAATTTAAATATTATAAATATAAAATATTAATTTATTATAAATATAAAATATTAATTTAATTATCAATGAAATTTCACTTGCTGCTCGTTACTTCAATTCTCGTTTTCATTGTTTTACATTCAGTTTTCAGTAATCGACGAATCACGTTAAGACACAAACTTGCTCTGGAACTTTGTCAATTAAATTGCCGAGTAATTCAATTTAGTTTCAATAATTTCATTGAAAATTCTTACAAGTTATAGTACATTGTGTTCACTCGCACAATTTATTAATAACTTTCGAAATGTAAATTAAGCATTCCGTGTGAAGAGAAGAACAGAAGCTTCTGTCGTCCCGTTAATTCGGTAGTAATTCTCGCGCCATTGAATTGAAACATATTATCGCGTTGAGACTCGAACCAATTTCTTGTCGAGCAATAATGTCACAGAGCAGACACGTTGTTCGATTAACCGTAATTGACGTATAATTAAAGACAAAGACAACAATTATACCACGGACAGATCGATGAAACAGGTAGCAGTAATATTATATAGTGATTGCATTGAGAGAAAGAATACTCTAAATATTTAATTTCATTGTTAAACATAGTGTAAATCTGACGAATAATTTACTAAATTGTCAATTTAAAAACAAAAAACTGAAAAACAATATCTTTTCCAGTTTAATCTTAAAACAAAATCAGTTGCAGAAGCCAATGTTACAATAATTAGAGCGTGGAAATAGACTTTGTAGTTCAGTACTTGATGACCATGCAAGATAAATAAATCCTTCAGACTTTGTTACACAAGTAATTTCTTTTAATAAATTCATCTTCGACTGAATTATTCACTCGTTAGTAGGCTAGCTTGTTATTAACGGAACATGTTATTCCTCATTTTTGCTCACAACGAGCTTCAACCACTTGCGCTGGCAACTGATTGCGGACCATAACGAGCGACCAAATCCGTATTCGTCGCTTTTTTATTTATTTGTTTTGCCCATTTTGTTTTACTTGAATATACCTTAAGACTCAGTAAATATTATAACTTTGGAACAAAACATTAAATATCAATCGAGCGAATCTGAAAAATTCGTGATAAATCGACGGTTTCGTGACGAGCATCCTTTCGGCGGACAGTATGCTCCGCGCTAATCTGATTTCGCGCTCGAAATGGTGTACCCAGATGGACGAATCAATTCACTGTTCCAGCAACGATTAGAAGAAGCTCCAATAATTTGAAGGATGTTTATTGTCAGTCGCGAGCGAACCACGCTCGAACCAACGCGTTCCTGTTGCGAACCGCGTGAAACCGAGTCACGCTCATGAGACAAACATTCGTTCGATTGTTAACCAATTGATCAACAAGAGGAAGAATTCGAGCGTGGAAGTTGATTCGGTGCTCATTAGTAGGATTGGACCGTGGATTTTCGTGCGAAATTTGAAATTCGTAAAAATTAATATATTAAAAATTATATATAAATCAATATATATATTAATATATATGAAAATTATATGTAAATAAATATGTATTAATATATATGAAAATTATACATAAATAAATATATTTTAATGTATATAAAGATTATACATAAATTAATATATATTAATATATATGAAAATTATATATAAATAATTATATATTAATATGAAAATTATATATAAATAAATATGTATTAGTATATATAAAAATTATATATAAATAAATATATTTTAATATATATAAAAATTATACATAAATCAATATTATTAATATATATGAAAATTATATATAAATAAATATGTATTAACATGTATGAAAATTATATATAAATTATATATAACTAAATATATTTTAATATATATAAAAATTATATATAAATCAATATATATTAATACATATGAAAATTATAATTAATATATAAATCAATATATATTAATATATATGAAAATTATATATAAATCTATATTAATATATATAAAAATTAATATATAAAGTACACGCAGACGCAGATTTGTACAAAAGCAGAGGGCTCGTTGCGTGATTTTTCTGAGTGGGTGAAACGCAACTCTGTTCGTTCGAAACAGAAAAATAGGGATATATTTTTAGTAATAGCGTTTTGAATAATATTAAATTAGCAACTACTAATTCGTTCAGTAATAGAAATGATAAATTGAAATACTTTAATCAAGTGAAATCCGCCTCGATTGATTTTGCGATAATCAGAAGTTGAAGAGCTACTTCGAGATTATTTGAGCAGGTGCTTTCGAAATTATTTGAGCAAGTGCTCTGTCGTTGATTCTTCAGGAACCGACGCGAAATGAAAAAGAAGTGGAATGGTTTGTTGTGAGTAGAAGAGGCTTGATCGTGCGGGATTCGAAGTATCTTCGATGGTAGTGAATAATTTGATTCTGAGTAGCGTTTGTTTTCGTTGTCGAATCTAGCTGAGAACTAGGGAGGAACTCATTCTCAAGTAGGATTCCCCAGGAAAGAAGTTTCACGATGCGAAGTTTAAATTGTACATTCAGTGTCTCTTGCGGAAAGAAGAAATAGATAATTCCTACAATAACAAGCGTGCGATTTAATTAAAAATTGATAATACCTTTTAGCTGAACGTGACAAAATAACAATTGAAGTATTAAAACGTAAATTCGAACAAGGCATCCAGAGAGAAGAAGAGCTAACATCGAAGAGGAAACGGACAATTTGATCGACCAGTTGTGAACAATTTGTTTAAAAGTGAGACGAAAACTCGGGTTTAGCGAGGGTTATTAAATGTTCCCTTGGGACAAGGATGAAGAAAGTCTCGAACGAACCGAGTGTTCGATTTAATTCTACCTGAGCCGGTTTTAATCAGTGAAGAAGTTGAGCGAAGAAGGGATAAAGATTAACATCGAGGCACAGATACGAATCACACGGGCTCTCCAACAAATAACAATCAGAAAAGTCCTTCGAACGAACACGTTGGAGGAAGAACTTGGAGAATAGAGGGATTGATGAATCGTCTTCGGAAAGAATTTCCAAGACGATGCCCGAGGAATTGAATTACTGCTCCGAATGAAAATGAAAAATAGAACAGTTGTAGAACAGAGTCGTAATAGTTCACGGTTAAAAGAATAAAACAGTACTGCAAAATAGTCTGGACACGATTAAAACAGAAAGAAAAGAAAAATATTGAGGATGCACGATAGGAAGGTTAATTGAAAGAGCTGACTAAATTACTTGGAGAAGTGTTCGAAAACCGTGTTACTACTCGACTTCAGTGACACGCTTGTCCAATTCACGGAGACGAAGCGACAGAAAAGAACGTTAATTAATCATCTTTCAAGGAGGAACCGTGAACTTGAAGTGTCGCGCGGTTATTAAGACGACGAGATCGTTAAGCTTCGAGAAAGTCTCAGACTACTTGGAAACAATTTATTACCAGCAATTATTACTGCATATATCGGGCAAAGTGAACTTCAGCGGAAATAATTACTAATTGACTTTATGTTAATTCTACCGTAAATTTGAGACGATAAATTGATTCTCCAGGCGAAGGGAAAAAATTGTTAAAGTATCTCTGAAATTTATGGTAGAAGCTCGATGAAAGATCGTCGTCAGTCTAGACAACATGAGTCGAGAAACTATAACATAACAACCGTAACAACCATAAATTACTCTGTGCCACAAAATTCTGTCTGGAAATTGAAAGTCTCTTGATATTAATTCGTCCTCGTAACGAACTACAATTCATCATACTAATCAAAATCATACACACACACAAAAAAAAAGAACGAATCGTAGACAAATCACACAAAATTTGCACGAATCGACAAACGACTCGGCGAAAGATCGACGAACTTTGTTATTTATGCATCGTCGTTGAAATTTCGAATCGATCCTGAGGAGAGAAAAATTGACGCTTTTAATCGTTTAAAAATAATTGTCTCGCGCAAAGTAAATGGGTTGATCGATGCTAGTTCCATTAATAGCGTCGGACTCATGAGAATAGGCAAACCGTTCACACGTGCAAATATTTTTCAGGCGTGCGTTTACAATTGGTTGGATAATCAAACGCGCGTGTCGTTCGCGTTTAATCGCCGTCGGTGATATTAATGACGTGCAACCAAGATTCGAGCGATCATTTTACAGAACAGCGGATCGAAATCTACTGCGACGCACATCCGTGGGCAACGATTACACTAACCGATCCGCGTACAATCAGATCTGGATCGAACTCAATTACACCGACGCGATTCAGTTTTTCCGATTCGATCGATCGAACGAACTGAATGGGCTGTTGAATCTCTAGATTGAAGTGAACGCGCGATTAATCGAACACCTGCTGCGGGGCGCATCGTTCTCGAATGTTTCAGTCGGCAGATATTCGAACAAGTGTGATTTAAAAACCGTAAGATTCGAACGTACGGAAAGATTCGGAGGGAATTTTAGAGAATTTGGGGAATTTGAAATTGAAGAAGAAGAGATTTTGAAATTGAAATTTACAGAGATTTTATTATACAGAGATTGAACAAATTTCACGGCGAGAATTCGAGGGAAACGAGTTGAAGATTGAATCGAAGAACGTTGATGATTCGAGGAACCAAATACGTGAAAATTCGCAGGGATTGAGACTGAACAGAGTAAATCAAACTAGAAGCGAATAAATCAAGCTCCGTCTGACTGTCAAAAGTCAGATTAAAAAGAACTTACGACGAGAAGTAGAAAACAAATCGCCCAAGTTTGACTGGAGGAGTCGTAGAAATTTGCAAAGATCGAAACTGACGAAGATTGTTAAAAAAAATTTACGACAAGAATTGGAAAACGAGTCGTCGAAGAAGTTGAAGATTAGAATTGATTCGACACGAACGTTGATGATACGAGGAACGAAATACGTGAAAATTCGCAGGGATTGAGACTGAACAGAGTAAATTAAACTTAATAAAAGTAAAAGTGATTAAAAAGAACTTACGACGAGAATTAGAAAACAAATCGCCGAAGTTTGACTCGAGGAATCGTGGAAATTTGCAAGAATCGAAACTGACGAAGATTGTTGAAAAAAATTTACGACGAGAATCGAAAAACGTGTCGTCCAAGTTCAGGATTGGAACCAAATGCGTGAAAATTCCGAAAAGTCGAAACTGAAGATACTATTTTTAAATTGAAACAGAAGCAAATAAGTCACGTCGAGCACTGACCTGTCAAAAATTATCGCGAGATCGACAGATCCAGCTGTACGAACACCTCGAGCCGGAAGTGCCGCGCGAAAATGGCCTCTCACCGTGACGACACGTGGATCTTCGCGCAGGGTTGACGATTTTCTATTAATACGTCCGTGCTCGAGACCAACGACATATTCCATTCGCCCGTGAAGATCCACACAGTGGCCAGCCATGTCCCGATCCAGCATCGAATCTATTTTCGAACCGTCGAATCGATTCAAACGCTTTCAAACTGGACGAATAAACGACCAATAAACGTGTTTTTTTTTTTTTGCCCTTGGGTACGTCCACGAGAATTTTTAAAGGCAACTGCTACGAGCTGGCGAGTTTAAATGGAGGGAAAAGGAGGTGAAGCATTGCTCGATGATCGCTTGATACGTGGATCAATAACGGGGACACGAAGACGTGTCTGATCGAGCGGTCTTGGCTCGCCCTCGACCTCGTAAATTGCTGGGAATTGACTTAATCGTCGCCGAGGGACGCTTAAAGGCGTTCGCCTTTGTCCTCGCCAGCTACCGAAAAATGGCGGTCGTTGAACCTTTCGTTCACATTCTCACCGGCGGACCGCGAAAATCCTCCGAGTTTTGAAAGTCGAACTGGAAATTTTTCGCAAAAGATTCCCTTCTTCCGTGGATTGCAGTCAGCGAGGATGGCTCGGATTTGAACGGTAGGAATTTTCCTTTTTTCGTAAAATTGGAAGTGCCGTTGAAGATTTGTCTGATAAAGTGAATCGAGGGTATCGAGGTTGACTCCGAACTGGATTTTTTTCCCCGCAAAATGTGTAGAGACATCGTTGACGTTGAGATTAGTTCCAAACTGCTGGGAACTGTAGTAAAACGTAAATTTTACGAAATTTTACGAAACGTGTAAAGTCCAAATACATCAGGCGGAAAGAAATACTGTCGTCATCGTTGTCGAAGACTTGTCGAAAGCAGAGGACCGTAAATATTATCAGAACTCGAAGTTTCCTTCGCGAAATGTAACACATCACAAGCGAAACGTCGTCGCTGTCTGAAAGAAAAGAGAAGCTTGTTTAAAGAAGCAGAAGAGAAAAAACATATGCAAATACTTATCGCTAACGTTAAAAAACACTTCTGAACTAGTCAGTCGGGTCGTTACGCGGCTGCGTGATCGATCGTGAAGGAAGATGATCTCGTCGAACGAGTCGATCGATTCGGGAGTTGGCATGAGGTTGAGCGGAAGTCGTGGGGATTCACTGGCGTCTGACGTCATATGGGAGAATTACACGAATCCTATCGTCGCGTTCCTGCAGCAGGAGGACTCGTCGACCAGGCGTGACCCTTTGTACATCGTTTTGCCGATCACGGTGATCTACGCGGTGATCTTTCTCACTGGCCTGGTGGGCAACGTCTCCACGTGCGTGGTGATCGCGCGTAACAAGTCGATGCACACGGCGACCAACTACTATCTGTTCAGCCTGGCCGTTTCTGATTTACTGCTGCTGATATCCGGCCTGCCGCCGGAGATGTACTACATCTGGTCCCATTTCCCGTACGTGTTCGGCGAGGCGTTCTGCATTATTCAGAGCTTCGCCGCGGAGACGTCCGCAAACGCCACGGTACTCACCATCACCGCCTTCACCGTCGAAAGGTTTGTAAATAATTTCCGTTCATCCGGTGATTCGAAACGAGCGAGTCGAGTTGTCGTTAGATCTTTTTTGGCGGCAGAATTTAGTATTTGGATCTTTTTGGTATTGTTAGTGTTTGGTATTGTTTAATATTTGAATCTTTGGTACTTGGTATTGTTTAATATATGGATCTTTAGTATTTGATATTGTTTAGTATTTGGATCTCTGGTACTTGGTATTGTTTAGTATTTGGTATTGTTTAATATTTGGATCTTTAGTATTTGGTATGGTTTATTATATGAATCTTTAGTATTTGGTATGGTTTATTATATGGATCTTTAGTATTTGGTATTGTTTAATATTTAGATTTTTAGTATTTGATTTAATATTTGGATCTTTGGTACTTGGTATTGTTTAATATATGGATCTTTAGTATTTGATATTGTTTAGTATTTGGATCTTTGGTATTGTTTAATATTTGGATCTTTAGTATTTGGTATGGTTTATTATATGGATCTTTAGTATTTGGTATTGTTTAATATTTGGATCTTTAGTATTTGGTATTGTTTAATATTTGGATGTTTAGTATATGATATTGTTTAATATTTAGATTTTTAGATTTGATATTGTTTAATGTTTAGATCTTTAGTATTTGGTATTGTTTAATATTTGGATCTTTAGTATTTGGTATTGTTTAGTATTTGCTATTATTCAATATTTGGATCTTTGGTTTGGCGATACAGTATTTGGTTTGATACAGTTTGATTTGGTTTCTGTAAATTTGTTATATATACTTATGTTTGTTATATATATTGCATTATTTATATTTATTTTATATATATTTTTTATTATTATATTTATTACATATATTTTGATACACGCATTCTATGACTTTCTTGGCGTTTGTATTTCTTATAAGTGAGTAAATATTATGTTAGTGAGTGAATAGTTTACTCCCACTTTCATAAATGATATTTTCTTTAATTCGTATTTTTATTTTTTACTATTATATATTCGATTATTACGTGCTTTGTAATATATTGATTGATAAACTTGAATTACACAATATCCTTAATTTTAAATTAATTAATTAAATTTTAACGCAACATTTCCTCTGTTTTTTTTTTTTTTTTTTTTTTTTTTTTTTTTTTTTTAGGTTGAAATATTTTATAGGTATTCGAATGAAATATTTTATATGAAATCAATTCATATCTTATATATATATATATATATATATATATATATATATATCTAATATATTTATTATCAAGAAAATATTTAATTGTTATTAAAAAATATATATAAACATAGATACACTATTTATACTATACCATGGCAGAAAGTTTTCGATCAGGAAGATACTCGAAGATACTTGATAACATTATTCCATTTATTTGAATACACACACATGCAAAAATAAAATTAGCAATTTCAATTGAATGTCTTTGCACCGAAAGATTAAAAGATCAATAACCTTCCAACACTTGCGTTTGATCGAAAACTATTTGCCTATCGAAAATTTGCCTCGATATTTGATGATAATATAGAAATGATAAAATTTTATATCAGTTTGTCCTCTTCATATTTTTTGAACAATTTACAATCGACGAACAATGATCGAAATATATTTGCATATGAAAGAATTAACGTTTACAGAACTCACGATATTGTTTCATTCGACCAACATGGTGCGTTAAAAGAAAGAAAGTAATTCTTCAAATTTTACAAGAATGCGTAAAATATTTCTTTGCGTCGTCGGGTGTTAGACTTGTCTCTCGAACATTATCGACAAAGAGTGATGGTCTTCGAAAGAGAGTTTGAAAGATGGAACAGCCATCGTGAACCGACCGCAGTGTTCTCCTTCTGTTTACCGTTCCTTCGAAATGAGTGATTGATCGAGATAATTGCGTTTAAGGATGTGTTCACCTCGAAACGTCGATGTTGACTTGGGACTTGTCACAGCCATTCGAATTGAATGGAAGCACTGTTGCAATCGAATTTGCAACTTCGTTAACATGAACTTCTCTTTGCAATAAGCAAAAGTTGAAACATTCATCTTGTAACGCGTGACCTTTCTTACCTGGTTAGCGAACTGAATTGTCCTCCAAGCTCGACTGATTAATTTTTAATTAAAAGATTTCTTATTCTTTTATTCAACGTAATAACTCTTATTCTTATTATTCAATATTATTCCGAAATTACCGATTTTCACCTTTTTTAATAGATCGTAATAAAGATTCATAAATGGGGAATAGCCAGCGAAAAGAATCGATTAATATTTTATTTCTTGGATATTTTCAATTTCGATCCATTTTGCGGAAAACGTGAAATTACTTGAAATTTTACTAATAATATTATTAAATATATATACATTAAAATAAATATATACAATGATACTTTATTAAATAATAATTTTAAATTAAATATAGAAAATGAAATTATAATATTAGAAAATATAATTTCGTAAAATGTTTTTTCATAAATTATTTCATATTTATTTAAAAATTTATCAAAATAGTAAATAATAATTTTGTATATATTAATTATATAAATAAAATTTTTAAAAAAAAGTCAATATTTTAAAATTCATTTTTATTAAAATTAAATTTATTATAAAACCCAAATGTTTGAAAATTTTGTCATTGCGAAGCGCGATTTTAAATTATTGGTAGATGTTGAAGTTAGAATACGATACGATTCGCGGAATTGTAAGATTACAAATTCACCGCGAAGTTTCTACCAAATGCCGTCCCGGAACTTGAAAATCTTTGATCTCCGTTTTCGAGGCCAACTATTAGACGTACCAAAGCATTTTCAACTAAAAGCATCGAGCTTTCGAGGGAGTGTACAATTACTGTGTCGTCCCGCAGAAATTCCCAAGAATCGTTGGAAGTAACCCTTCCCATTTGACAACAAATAACGTGCCTCTCTGTGACCTGCTCTCTCTTATTTCGTATTTCTCATTCGAGAAAAAAAGAAAAAAAAAAAATAAACGTTACGATTCTTGATTCCACCCAGTGGCGAACGATTACGACGGGAATTGCTGATAAAATGGCCGATAGATGCTCGTTTGACACTCGTTAACAGAGAAATCGATACTTAGCGTTAGGTTAAACGGCGATAGAATCATTTTTCATGCGGTTCCAGTGTTACTCTGTTGTTGGTGATCCCCCGGTCGTCGAAAATTATCAACAGCGTGTAAACATTTTCGAAATCACGTGTATTTTATTTATAATAATACTTGTTCGTGGAATGGAATAAATCTGATTTTTCAATTCTGCAAGTGAACACGCAACAGTGGAGTATCTCTCTCCAGTGAGAAATTGAAACGATATTGTTAAGAAAGGAGATGGTTTTGTCAAGATTAGTTTAGTAGACGAAGGAGAGAATTAGATACAAAAAAGATCATGTCAAATCACTTAATCGTTGCATGATCTCTACACTTGTGAGTGTCTGACCAGTGTAAAACTTATTTTACTGGTCTGTGTTTGACTCTGAACTTATTCTACTTGTGGGTGGTTGACTGTAAACTTATTCTACTTGAGAGTGTCTGAAAGTACACTTATTCTACCTGTGACTTTTCTGACTATACTTCGTCGTATGTAGCTTTTTCTTTTTTTTTTTTTTAAAGGAACGGAAATAGATAAAAAAGTGGGAAAATTGTTGAAACGTCGCACAATCGAAACCGAATAAAAATTTGGAATTGAAACAACAGAAATTTCAGTCCTTTGTGATAGTTATTAAGAATACAGATCCTTCAGAATTGTTTTCAAGCCCTGAATCTAATAAAAGACAGCACGAGAAATTAGCTTTGTGCATTTTTGCGTGTCGTTTGTGCAGTTGGTTTCAAAGAAAATAAAAAAAAAAAAGATAGAAATGGGGAAGCAAAGTAAAAAAAAAGAAAAGAAAAAATGAATGAGAAAAGAAGAAAATAAAGGGAAACAAAAATGTAAAATGTTCGCTTAATTGGAACAAAAAATTCGAGCGGAGTTCGTCACGTCGGTCAATTTTTATGCAAAAATAAGACATGTACAGTGGAGAAATTATCCATTTTCTAGTACAATCAATCTCCTAAAAATCAACGTTGCTCTCGTTGAAATTTCCTCGTCGCGAGATATGCCAACAAAAAATCGCTTCGCTTTGCCGCGTAATTAATTTTCCAGAATCACCATTCTTCTTGTCAGTCTTCGTGAAAAGAGAATCTTCTCATTGACACCTCGTAAAGAAACAACCAATGGAAGCAACGCTATTTTACAATACTGCTCAACTTTATAATCAGAAAAAAAGGAAAATACAGATTTATAAAAGAAGAAGAAGAAGAAGAGGAAGAAGAAGAAAAATCGTCGACTGACGCGCGCTTCTGTTTCAGGTACGTGGCGATCTGTCATCCGTTCATCTCGCACACAATGTCGAAGCTGTCCAGAGCGGTGAAATTCGTCATAGTGATTTGGCTGCTGGCGCTGTGCCTGGCGGTGCCGCAGGCGATCCAGTTCGGCGTGGTTTACGAGTATAGCAACGGCTCGGCGATCCTCGACAGCGCCCGATGCGCGATGAAATGGACGCTGATCGAGCACGCGTTCGAGATATCCACCATGCTGTTCTTCGTGCTGCCGATGACCATCATCATCGTCCTCTACATACTGATCGCCATCAAGCTGAGACGGTCCAGACTGTTGACAGCGACGGTGAAGAGGAAGAACCTGCCGGCTGGGCCGAATCACTGCGACACCGGCAGAGGGAAGAGCGCCGCGCAGAGGAACGTCATTCGGATGCTGGGTGAGTGAAACGTTTTGTTTAATTTTAAACTATGAAATTAATTTCGTTTTCTTTTTGTTGGCGACGCGTGTGACGGGACGCGTTATTATTCTTGATTTGCGAGATGGAATTTTTTATTTTGGAAGAGTAAGAATTGATGTGATATTAATTTAAGGGAGATATTATCTGATGAGGTGTGAACTTTTTGAAGAAAAGTAGATGTTTCTTTTTTTTTCCGCATATTCTTAGAGAACGTAGAGATTCAAAAATGAATCTCTGTTATTATCTTACGTGTGTACTTCTAAAATTGACGAAGTTATGGTTGTTCGAAGAATGCGACGACCAACGTCATTATTACCGCAATACTAAACTTTTTTTTTTATATGGGAGTTTAGAGCCGCATCGACTACGAGGTCTTTAGCGACGTGTTGGAATTATCTCTTTATAACTGGTCTCAATACTAAACTTTTAAAGGCATTTTCTTGGGAACCTATGGTTTTCAGAACGGTGTCCATGATATCTCAAAATCTACTTGAGAAATTGACTCAAAATTTTAAAGCACCCGTTTAGTACATGTGTGACTATAGCCCCTGCCAGAATCAACCAAAAAATTTTACTTTTCATATTTTTTTTAAGCTTCTGAAGTTTAACGAAAAACATGCAAAAATCGATAGTCGAACTTCAAAGTATCGCCACTTTTTTAATTACCGACTTTTCTCTTTTGTTTTGGACATTCACGGTTTTTTTTTTTATTTCCGACAAGCAGAATGGCCGGAATGGACAACCGCGAGACGACCTTTTTTAAAAGCGACTAGCGTTTGAGAGTATGCAGTGCCGCTAATTTTAACTTTTCTTGTCTCAAAAAATTTTAAAACGTCGTTGAAACACATACAAATAAACTTTGTCAATTTGACTGCAAAAGGTATAATAGCTTCTTTGCAAAAAATTTCCTAACAAAGTTAGAAAAAACACGCACCTCAGACATAGAATATGCCCTCGACAAGCTTCTTTTGTATCGTCTACCTGCATAGCAATTTATATTTACGAATAAATATTTTCGTTTCAAATAAAATGACGCAGCGTTGGAAATGATCATTCAAATTTCGTTGATTGCATCTTTCTAACATGTGATATATCGTTTAAATTTAAAAGCAATCATCGACGTGCATTGCGAGTTTGCTAGAACAAGCATAATGCAATATGATAAGAGTTAATGACACAGTTTCAATCTCTGGAAAGATCATATCCTCCGTTATGTTTCTGAACTTTCGTAAGAAGTTTATGTGAATTATTGAGCGTCAATTGACTCAAAGAACCGTCTTTTGTTCTTCTTACGTCGTTATTATAGTTTTCACACTAGATGTCTGTTTAAATTATAAAAAAGAGGAAGTTCAAGCTGTTGGCTAGATTTAAGATGTCCCCTCGAAAGAAACAGTCGGGTGCAAAGGGTTAATATTAATTACAATTTTAAAAATCGTATTAATTGTAATTTAAATATCGTGCATCGTGGATTACGGTTCTAAGCATTTTTCTGTATTCATTTGTTTGAGATTTGCAAGTTGAAAATGTTGGTGATTCGTTCTTGGAAAATTCTTCAGTATTTATTCCGAATCCACAGGTCGCAAATTAAATTAAAAATACTGGAATTCTTTCGTTCTATTCGAAATCCACAAATGTCGCAGATGTTGTGGAGCCTTCTGTATTCTTTGTTCAGATTTCTTTATTCAGAGTTCGCAGATATCGCAGGTCTCTATTTTTGTAACTCCCAATTCTTTATCCAGAAGATTACAGGCTTATTTTCGGAATTGTTCTGCATTCTTTATCCGAGGCTCACTAATCAGAGATTTATTTTTAGAATCGTCCTCCGTATTCTGTGTCCCTTGCTCGTGTCGTTCTAAAACCAGAACTTTTACAAATTTAGATAAACATCGATGGTCTGTAAATTTTCTGCGAGAAGCATTGCAGATACTTTGTGTAGAAAATAGAATATAAATTACGATGTTTCTCTGAATATATTTTTATAGGCGTTTAATATTAATCTATAATACATCTTGATAGAATTTCATTTAAAATTTTCGAGAATCCAAATAGATCAGTAATAACTTTGCAAGCGTCGTAGATTAATCTCTTAAACGTCTCTGCATCAATCAAACACTCTAAATTCAACCACATTGTATTAATAAATCTCAAAAAAAAAAAAAAAGAAACAAACAAACGCGAAACCAGCTTTTGTTGTCAACAATATTACTATATCATACAGTAAAGAAAAAAAAAAATAAATGTTATCCGAATTAATTTTCAATATCAGTCAACGATAAACGTCTCGTAAATCGACGAAAAACTGGCTGAGAAACCGATTTGAAGGAGCATTTAAGTCCAAACGAAATCGATTAACGAAGAAAAGAAGGGAACAGTAGGTAGCCAAGATTCGCCTGGATAGTTTCGAAACGGTTGTTCCGCTTGTTTGTTTTTGGTCCAACTTAACTAAGAAGGGAAGACTTAATCCGTCCGACGGCGAGACAGGATTCGCAGGTTTTACGGCGTCGTAAAAATAGTGTCGTCGGTGATAAATTCTTTTACGAGCAGAAGGCGAGATGATTTTGGCCGAGGCGAGGAATTTATCACGCCCGAACGACGCTTTCTTGTTGTGTGTCTCGATTCGTCGTTGTCGCGATTATTGCCCCGCTCGACGAGAGATTTAACCGAAACGAAGAAAGAAAAAGGGGCGAAACGGCGGAATTTTCTTTTCGAATAAAATTAACAGAACAATAATATGGAGACGCGGTGTTTATCGAGACTCAACATATTGTATTTAGGATCGTGTTTTTTGGAACGAGACGTTTGCCTTGTGTCTTAAATATTTAACGCGAAGTAAATTTGATTTAATTGATATTAGAAACGGTTAAATTGGAATGATAAAAATCTTTAACTCACACACAGTGTCGCAGTGTAGTAAATAAAGTAACAAGTGATAGCAGTAATAAATTCAAAATCATTAATTAAAAATAATGAGTAATAGTAAATTTGTGGTTTAAAATTAAAAATAACGAGTAATAATTATTTTAATGTAATTGATTTGTTTCTAGTCTAAAAGTAAGCATTAAATATATTGAAGATTAAATAATTAGTTAATATTAATTTAATTATAATATAATATAATATAATATAAATATAATTATAATATAATATAATATAATATAATATAATATAATATAATTATAATATAATATAATATAATATAATATAATATAATATAATATAATATAATATAAATATAATTATAATATAATATAATATAATATAATATTAATATGACTATAATATAATTAATATTATCATATATCGTTTAATAATATCAATATATTATATTTGATTGAAGATCAAATGCATCATTATATCTTATTCTATAATTCACTTGTCACATTATCATAAAATAGGTGCCTTAATATTTGAGGTGAACGAGGTGATCATAATTTTTGGAACGAGGTGAGACTTATTCGTGAGAGTAATAAATTCGCAAAATTAATCGACGAGAATAGAGGAGGAACGACTTCTTTCAACGATTCTCAATACTCGATTGTGTTTATTTTCTTCCACGCTTCTTCTTTCTCGCCGGATGTACATTCTTCTTCGGTTGTTGCAGATGACAAATCCCAACGAATAAAATATCACGCGGAAATAATGAGTCATTTTTTACTCGTGTTATTTACACCGTGAGAGTTCAAATCTGGATGGGAGAAAGGATATTTTATACGCCGATATCGTATCCACTCGAGGGAGATCAAGTTCTCAGAGAATTTAGGTTCTATTGATTCTTTATCAGGTTACCGTAATAGTTCTCTTTCTTTGAAATGTTCGAGTTTGAAATGAAATTTTATCAAGTCCCTCCTCTGGTCTTCCACAGTTTTCATCCACAATGGACATACATTTTCTATCTCGCTGTCAGTGAGGTTTTGCAGGGGACCTCGAATTTTCGATAATTCCTGTCGTAGTTGTCGTTAGATTCTTGCTAGAATTCCCATCAGGATCCCAGTTTTTTTTTTTTTTTTTTTCTTTTTCTTTTATCGCGTATTATCTCCTCCGCGTATTCTTATCGAATACCTCTTTTCTTCGTTTATTAAATTCCGAACAGATTCCTTCCATTGATTTCTTATTGTATTTGAAACCCATCAGGCATCCTTATCTTTGGTGGATATTTATTACGTTTGTGCTTGCATGTTCGAAAAAGCATTTGTTTCATCTACTAAACATTTGCTTTGCAGATATAGTTCCTGTGCATTTTTAAATTTTATTGGTACTGTTAACTTTTAAATATTACGAATTTCATTAGAAATTTCTCTCGTTAAAGTAAATGCTACAACTATTCTGTTATGAATGTTGTAACTACTATAAATATTAATATTATAAAATTATGTAATAATTATATTGCAATATAGTATATATACTATATTATATTCTAATTATATACAATTATAATTATATTATAATAACTACTAAACTAAATATTACAAGTTACTCTGTATAATTGTAATTATATTATAATAACTGCTAAACTAAATATTACAATAACTACTAAACTAATAATTATAATTATACAGAGTAACTGTATAATTATAATTATATTATAATAACTACTAAACTAAATATTACAAGTTTTTTTCATATCTTCCATGCACTCGTGCATTTCCAAATTTTATGAGTAGCTCTGCGTATTTTACATATTTTTATATATCACGGCTGCCTTTCTAACATTCTTGCACGCTCGAGCCCTTCAAATACATAAAATTCAGGCTTGTTTCCTCGACAATTCGCATTCAGAGGAATGAAGGAGCAGGAGATAACTCGTTCGACTAACGATCAGGAACAAGTACCAATGATTGAATCGATAATCATAACTCCAATGGCTATTGGTTCTGGCCATCTGGCCACCTCAAGACACTTTTTCGGCTGCGCGTACACAGAAGGCCCTCGAAAATGCCGTGGCCTCGTAAAATCGTACGATCTCTCGTGGTTTTCGATTA